GCAAAGGCACACTCAGCCTAAAGGCAACAGCAGCTCTTTATTGTAACAGAACAAGTATGTACAACCCAGAAAAGGTTTAGTCTGACAGCAGCCCTTTTATAGGGAGCTGTCAGACCCTTCGACCAATGAAATTAAACCTCTGTTCCCGCTGGAACAGAGGACCTTGGTGGAAACCATTATAACAATTGCTAGTATCTAACATTGGCAAAATATTCAGAAACCTAATAAATAGCCACCTATAGCCATAGTAATATTGTGGCATACTTTGGCTATTCTAGAGGAGCACATAATGCTATTATATTTTCTGCAAGATTTCAGATTCAAGATTTGTAATATTCTGGATTATTTTCTTCTCATGGAGTAATGAGGCTATTTTTACGAATTTAAATGAATTGAATGAAATGTTTATACGCTGTCTTTTAACTCAGAGATCCTAAAACTCCAGTTTCAGGCCAAATTTGACTCACTAAATGTCCCCTTCTGGCCTATGAACTTATAAAGCTGTCCTTCTTCTGCCTCTGTAAAGATCCACTCTTTGCAAGATAAACTGCCATTTCAAAGTCTTGCTCATATTTTGAAGCTGCTTTCCTACTAATTTTTTTTTCTTTCCCTGTTTTGGTGCTTTGCTTTCTCTTAGTTTCAACTAATGACTTCTAGAGCAGAAGTGGTTTTTTATAGTGGTTTCTCCTTTGCAGATGGATGATACCTCTGCATGAAGTTTTGAAAGGTGTTGTATGAGACTTCTGGAAGGAGTTTTGGTATCACCTACTGATGTGCAGGAAGGTTGCTTATTGCTAAACCTATTGCTTATTGTTTAACTTATTGCTAAACAAGGGCCCTGGCAGGGATGGGCTGCTGGGGGTTCACCAGGTTTCAGGAGAACCTCCAGCTAAGATTCTGTGCAGTTTGGAGAATCCCCAAATCCCACTCCTGGCTGGCCCCGCCCCGCCCCGCCCTCCCAGGAGTTCCCATGTGGCCCATTTTGGATGCAGGTAAGTGCAGGGTGCTTGGAGGGCCTCTGGAGCCTGGGGAGGCATTTTTGCTCTCACAGAGGCTTGAGAAAAGCCTCTGGAGCTCGGACAGGGCAAAAATGTCCCCTCCCCCGCCATGTTGCAGGAGGCCAACTATGCCACACCCACCATGGCCACGCCCACCCAGAACCAGGCAAAGAACCTTTTGCTAAAATTTTTGAAGCCCACCCATGGGCCCTGCATGTGCAATTGTTTAAAAATAAAAAACAAGAAAGGAACATCTGGCAAATGTGCCGAGATTGTGGCTTTATTATTTCTGGAAGCTTTGTTAGCCAGCACAAATCTCTGCAGACCTAATGAATACAAATGTGGTGGCAAGGGAGTATTAATAGCTACATCTCAAGTGTATTTTTTTTAACGCTAAGATTTTCCTAAGCCTTTTCTTTCCATAGGGAAGCTTTAGAAAATGCATTAAAAACTCACATGTGGGGTTTCTGAGCCTCAGCGAGCTTGCTATTGTTTGCTTTGTAGAACCACTCCTGCAGCCCATTTGCTATGGGGAGATAGGTCAGTAAATGTTAGTTCTAATTTCCTCTTTTCTTTGGGGATTTAGTGTCAGCCACTTGGTTGACATCTTTATGGATGAGAATCCCTACCTTTATAATTTCAGAAATGTATCTGTTACTGGCCTGAAAGAGAAGCATCCTATGGACCATTTAGAATTCAAGTGCAAGACATTTGGGAATGTGATGACTACACCATTCGTAGCTTTTCCCTGCAGGTATAATTTTTTTTATTGATGAAGAAGAGCTTTGGCAGGATGATTTTCCTGCACAGTTCACCCTTCCCTCCAAATCTCTATGCAAGTATTGTCAAAACCTGACCCTTAAGTTAAACTTTTACTGGAAATAGGACATGTCCTGATACTAAGCCCAATCGGGCTTTTCAGGAGATGGGCTAAAATACCCCCCTCCAACTACTAAAATGACCCTGCCATGAACCTGATCTTGTCTGGGGAAGGCTTTGGTGGTTTCAATGCACCCCCCAGTGGCCTTCTGGAGTTGGCCAGGCCCAGCCAATCCATAGATTCTTTGGCAGCCCGCTGCCTGGCCGGCCATGCACCAGTCTCTCACTTCGGCGGTGGCTTCAGGCCGGAACCCAGCGCCTGCTGCCTGCATGGCGGGTGCTTCCTCAACTATTCGGGAAGCCAGCCACTGCCCCCAGCTCTCCTGGCCAGGCAGAATTCCTGCGCACCAGTGTCCTGTTTCAATTCGTGGAGTGGTGGCATCGCAGGCATGCACAGGGCAGCCGCTTTGGAAAGCCACCTGTTGCTCTCCCCTATCCTGCCGGGGGACTTCACGCCACCAGTGCCTGAGCATTTTCCGCTGCCGCTGGGCTCGGATCTCCAGGCGGCTCTGCAGCAGCGCCAGAACGTGGTGCTGATGATGAAGCAGATGGTGGCCACACAAGGCCAATCTCAGCTACTCTGTCCACCAGGCCTGCAGCAGGTTGGGCATCATCCACACCCTCATGCTGCCAGTGGGACACGGCCATCACCAATCCCCATACCAGCACCTGGGCAAAGCTGCTTTCGAGGCACAGGAAGGTGCTTGGTTCCCACCGTTTCATCCTCTGGCAAGTAGTGGAGATTTGCTGTTCCGACAAAGGAATAGGCAGGTTGCAGGAGCCTCCACACTGCCCCATCCACTGCCCCACCTACCAACCCCCAAATTGCATCCCAGAACATCTTACCTTTACAGTTCCATTGTGTTTCTTGCCATTGTATCCTGGGAAACACTTTGTAAAAAAAAAAACCCTTCTCGCGAGTTTATTGAACTCACGAGAAGGGTGTTTTCTTGGACACAACGGTAAGGAATGTGATAGAGCTGGAAAGGTAAGACGTGTGTCTCGCTTCTCAACCACCCCATTTACCAGCTGTTCGAAAACAATACCCCACCCCCCTCGGTAATAAGGCTAAGGCCATATTTTGGAGGTCAAGAGAAAATAAGACCCTGCCTTATTTTCAGGGAAACATGGTATACATTTTATTTTTCTTAATAAACCGTTTATTTTGAATTATTTTTCATGTTTCTTTCTTTGAGCTTTGTTACTTTGTTATTATGTATATAATATTTTATGTTATTGCATTATATATCTATTATTATATCTATTTTATTATAGACTGTATTATATACATACATACATACATGGATATATGGTACCAAAATGATGGTACCATTTTGGCTGTATAAGAAATTCCTTTCTGGTACTTATTAGTGTATATGAATGCACCAGGCACAAAACTTTGCAATCTGGATTATTTCTATTTTATTTTCTATTTGTAGACAGAATATTCCCTTTCATTTAATTTCCCACTTAATTTTTATTCTGTCTAAAATTATTAATGACCATTTCATTTAGCATTTCATTCACTCACTTAGTTGTCATGAGGTTATTGTGAGGAAGGGAGGTGTTTTCCCCTCAGGACTTTTGTCTCCTTAAAGATGTTTGTGTAGCTGTATGTTTTGGAATTCCAATAAGCACCTTGATATTTTCTCTCTTGGATAGATGCAGGCACATATATGTGAATACTTGAAAGAGTAAAAGTAATGCTAGCTTGTATTTCATCATGATTTTTAGTTCAAAGACGAATTTCGCACTGTGAAACACATTGTCTTCTCATCCTGGCCAGACCAGAGGACACCAGAATCAGCCAAGGTGCTCTTGCATTTGATTTTTGAGGTGGAGAAAATTCTAATGGCTGCCCAAAACGAGGGACCAATTGTTGTGCACTGTAGGTGAGAAATTCTTCTTGTAGCTCCATAGTGTTAGATATTTGAAATCTCCATTCTGAAATGATGCAACTACAGATCTAGCAAACACTTTTGATGGTCAGATATATTTCTACACCTTTCTCCTTCATATCACCAAAAATGCAATCTGACATGTAGTTGTTGTTCTATTTAGTGCAGGCATTGGACGGACAGGCTGCTTTATTGCTATTCAGATTGGATGCCAGCAACTAAAGGACAAAGGAGAAGTAGATATTTTGGGAATTGTCTGCCAGCTACGCATAGACAGGTATGGATGAAGAGCGGTATATAGGCGAAGTTCTGAGACTATTTCAAGAAAAACTGAAGGGGTCTCTAGTTACTTTATCTTTTTGTTTTGTATGTATACTATCCACTTAACAATATTTTCCAATCAAGTTAAACGTATTGAAACTTCTACATCATGCTATAGTACATACTTTGAAGCTGTTTGGAAGCATCTTGATAAATGTAGTTTCCTAAATGCAGATAATTTGATATGAAAGTAATGAAATTAGTTGGTTAAGTATTCAAGCAAAATCACAGCGGTCATTAATGCTTTTGTAACAAGCCAGTTTATGGTGAGTCATGTATCCCAGGCATTTTTGTAGGAAACATAATAGGGTTCATGATCTGGTACTGCCAATGACATCTTTTCAGTAGATACATAGAAATAAGTAAGTTTTATTCCTAAACAAATCAGACTCACTTTGCGTATCTCAATCTAAGATTTGTATTTGTCTTATTCTGTATTGTCACCTTATACACAAAGGCACCAAACAAATGATATCCAGTAATAAACTTATTTATGTATTGTTACATTAGATTTAATCTCCACTTCTATATAGAGTTGTGATAAATCAAGTAACCTACCAAGCCCCATTAAAATTATTTCAATGTAACACTTGTGGTAAAATGTTATAGCTCTAAATGTGATACAAGAATGTATGACAATGTGACATAACATTATTAGTGCAACTTGTACTGTGCTTCAGGAGATCATGGAGCAAAATACAGTGCCAAGAAATATATGCAATTCTTTATATATCAAATACATTAAAGAATGCATTCTTTATGAATGAAGCCAAATATACATGTCTCAGGATAATGTTGCAGGATCCAATCTGTTTAGTAATGCTATTTTAGTTTTATTTAAGAAGTTTTAAAGGTTATAGTTTCAGTCCTCATTATTTAATCTGTAGATGTTTTATTTTACAAGATTTTTTGCAATTTCTTGAAGAGGCATTTGCAATTGAATTGTTTTGCAAAGCATATGTAATTCTCAACCTGCTTTGTAAGGTGCTCTGCTATGGTCTGCAAAGATTGTAAATTATCTAAGATAGCCACTGTTTGCAAAACAAATGTATTGTTCTTCCCAGTATATTTAAATGATTTTCTTTGTTTGCAGAGGTGGAATGATACAAACCAGTGAACAATACCAGTTTATCCATCATATACTTGCTATGTATGCCTCACAGCTTTCCGAGTTCACAGACAACTAATCCATCATGCTGTGGTAGCGAGAGGAACTGTTTATATCTTGACACTGCTTGGAGAGCCTTTTCCTGATATCAAGATAGTAAAGTATTTATATTTCAGCCTTGAAATACATGCCGTAGCTCAAACAAGAACTGTTAGGTTGTTGGTTTTATATAAAAGGAATTTAACTGGATGTAGAGTTTTAATTTCATTTTTTAATATTTGAACTGTATGTTTACAAAACATAATATTCATTTCAAGTTCATTAAAATACTGTTGTGTTAAACACGCACACACCCCTGTACATCTTTTCCCAGTGTTTGGAGGTGTGGACATTCTGGAAGCAAAATGCTCAAGCTTGATCCTGACAATGAGTGGTTATGGTTTTGGATCCCTTGAGAGCAGTGGCATCCATGAATAAGCTTGCAGTTTTCCCTTCAAAACTGGTACACAATATGGAGGTATTCTTAAACTCACATCTCCTACTTAAGGAGCAGGTAACAGCTATGGCTAAGAAGGCTTTTGCACAAGTCTATCTTATGTGCCAATTATAATCCTACCTGAACTAGATAGTTGTTCAGTTAGTCACTCTATCATCTCACATATGACTCTTGTAATGCAGTCTACATAGGGCTGCCTTGAAAAAACACTCAGAAGTTGCAACTAGTCCAGAATGCACCACTATGGTGTACATTATGGATGTGTCACATGATGGTTGTGACATCATATCACAATTCAATGGGTTGGCTATCCTTGTATGTTCCAGGTCAATTAAGTGTCATGTAATGAAATTAAGAAATATGGCTTCTTGGTCACAGCACCTGCTCTCTGGAACATTTTCCCTGAGACTTGTTTGGCTCTTATCCCATCTGAGTTGAAAGAAACCCTTAAAATCTAACTGTTTCCCCAGGCCTTGAGTTAGATTGGGTTGCAGAACCTGTGGGTTTTATTAACTTAAAACGAACAGTTTTCTTTTCTTCAGATGCTTGTGATTGTATTTTTATTTTTATAATTATTTCATTAATACATGGTGTCCAGGATTGCTATGGAGTTAAGAAGTCCTATAAATTGAATTAATTGGTTTGTATTCAGTCATGAAATACAGCCTGATTTAAACAAGGTACTTTAAATGAGAAAGTGAGACTTCCATGGAGAGGCGATCACATTTAAATATATGGTTAACCTACGAAATATTCAATCAGTCTGTAAGCATTAACACACAATAGGTTAGCTGAATGTATTATTGGCTTGCTAGTGTTATGTTCAAACGGATGACTATATAAAATACGCATATTTTATATACTTAAATAAAATTGGAAAACATATTGTAATATATTTCTTTCCATCCCCAGTTTTGTATAAGTTAGATGCTCTGTAACTAATAAATTAGGGCTAAAATACATAGGAAGTTGACTTAAACTAAGCAAAAGCGCTAATCCACTTTACTCAGCATTGGTGATATTATCTGAAATGGGGATACCAACTTTTCCAGCCATATTTTCAGGTGTCTGGTAAAATGTACAATAACATATTACAGGTCACATTGTCATGCAGATGTTACAGATTACAGTACTGTATGTACTTTGTGTCATTTGCACAGTAATATCATGTGCAAATAATACCACTTGCATTCATTGTCAAGCCTAGCCATATCTGGAGTCGCTTATGCATACAGAATAAATGTTCTACCTCTGAATTGAATGTTTTTATTATGTTTTCTCTCACTGTAGAAAAAAGTAAACCATGTTTGTTAAAAGAATAAAGTTGCGCTGTATTCTTTCTGATCTTTTCCCACCAAGCAAGGCTAGTGACCCCAATATAATAAATAATTTGCATGCATGAATCTTTAACATTCCACTTTAAAGCATAAAAATGTAGTCACTGACCTCTTTATTTCTACTGTGGTTTTTATATGAAGAAAATACTAAGGAAATTATCCTCCATCCACGTGATTGCAAACCTATGGCACCTATGCCAAAGGTGGCACATACGCTATTGCCAGCTGCTCTTTGGGTTTCTGGCGTGCACCAGCTGATCTTCACACATGCTGGAGTGCCAGAAACCCAAAGATCAGCTGGCGGGTGCGCATGCCACCTTGTCTTCAGGTTTGTGCCGCTCTGGCATGCATGAAGACCAGCTGGCTGTTATGCATGTGCGTGCCAGGAACCAGAAGACCAGGTGCCTGGTGCGCACATAAGCACTGGCCAGGGGGTCTTTGAGTTTTCAGGGCTCCAGCGAGCACATGCGTGCATGTGTGCACACACATTCCAGTTTGGGCACTCGGTGCCAAAAAGGTTCGCCATCACTAATCTAACCTGATCAAAATGGAGAATAATCAAAAAAGAAATCTAAGTTAATTGTGATAGAAATACTTTTTGCATGAGTTTTCCTGAAGCTTATCTTAAAATGAAGCGGTGTGTTTTTGACAGTAAGAATTCATATGCCTTTGAAAATGTATTTTTAATCTTATGTTGAATTTAGGAGCAGTTGCCCAAAGCAGTGGTTATCTCATGCTAATTGTGCATAAAAGCAGGACATTTCTATATACCCTACAGCTTAGGGTATTAGAAGGTAGTATTTATATAGCATGCAGTTGCTAAGGTTTATGCATAAATGCTTTGTTAAAGTATTCAGTGAAGTTGAAGAGAAAGGAAGGAGGTGGAAGCAGGGGGGAGATATTGGAACAAGCAGTTCACAAAAAGCCAAAATTTTCTCATTCAGAATAAATTCTGCCACAATAAATTTATTTTATAGTGTGAACATTTTATGGTGTGAAATTTGGAACACGTTTCTCCTGTGCAGAGTAGAAAAATTACATTAGCAATCTCTAATCCTTTGAGGATTAGAAGGTGCATCATACTTTCTCATTTATATAATCCATCTACCTTGTTACAGATGAGAAGGGGATAGATCCCAAGAGTCTTCCATTTGAAAATGGGTTGAGCGGAAATAACAAGTGAAAAGAATTATGAAAGAATAAGTGGGTAAACAGGAAAAAACATTCATAGGTGCCTTTGAAATATATATCCCTAGGCTTAATGAATATTGCTTGATTTTAGCCCGATATGAACATAGTCGCGGTTTATAAGTATTATGTGTCTGAATCCATACAGTGCGACCTTTTCACATGCTATAACTAAAAGAACCATGACGTAAACTGTGAATGCAATCCATGTCTGGCCCGCCTTTGTTGCTGTTGCAGGCTGCTTACTATCCATGAATAGTCTACATTGTTGTGGAAAAAAGAGGTCTACTGAAAAATGAACCAAAGCAATGGAGAACTGAAACCAATTTTCTTTATTAAAACACGCTATTATAGTAATCACTGAGCTTCTGGCCAAATGGACCAACAGCCCCAACAATAGATGATATAGTAGTATTATACTAGTTAAAAAGGTGCATCAACAGTCATGAATAATTAATTACATTACATAGACACGAAAAAAACCCAAGTCTGTATCAGCAATAAATAGTCAATCAGCTTCAGTCTTGTAGCTGGCGCCTTGATCTTGTCATCAATCCTGTTCTATGTTCCTTTTTGTTTTATGGTTTCTTACTCGGGATCACTTTAAACTGAATTACAGTATCAAAGGGCATCATAAATCCCAGCCATTTTGATTCTATGTAATCTCTTATCGACCCAGGACACATGATTTAAAAATAAAAATCAAAGTCCTAATCAATCGCATTTACTTTTAAAAAATATTAACAGTTTATTATTAATACAAACCAGTGTGATGCTCTTTTTGGTTCTGGAGAGCAGATGAATGTCCTTGCATGCTGAGATAAGGGTAACAAGAGAAACTATGAAATGAAGGGAAGTTTGCAATTTTAAAAGGAGTGCAATGCAATTCTTTCTGACCCTAAAAATTAGTGGATTTTCCAAATCAACTAGCCTGAATCACCTTAGAAGTATTTCAAAGGTCTCCTGGAATCGATAGCATGTAGGATTGTTTGTGTGTATGTATACAGGTAGTCCTCAATCTATGACTGTAATGGAGTTTGTCCATTATGGTCACAAATGGTGACAACCATTACATGAGATAGCTTCACTTAATGCCCCCACCCCCTTGCTCTCCTTGAAATCACCACTAAATGAATGTGCAGGTCATTAAGCAAGCTTGGGGTAGCTCAAGGGTGGAGGAAACCCCGGTAAACCCATTACCAGCAGAGTCCATAAAGGAAGCAGACAAGCAGCAAAAAGCCAAAAACAGCAGCAGGAAAGAAGAGCCTAGATTAGAGCCCAAAACCATGTTCCAAACAAGCTTTGGTGGGAGCAGAGGTAAAATGCTACCGGTAGTAAAATACTTTAAAAAGTAAAAAAAAAACAAAAAACCAACAGTTCCGACGATAGAACGTTGCATAGCTGAACTTCGGAACTTTAAAAAAAAACATTTTAAGCATTTTTTAAACTACAGAGTCTCTGGAAATGTGGGTGGGGTATCCGTTTTTGCTCCCAGCAGGCTTCCCTAAAAGAAAGGAGAAAGAAAGAAAAAGAAAGAGAGGAAGGGAAGGAAAAAGGAGAGAAAGGAAAGACTACAAACCTGGCACTAGATGCAGCTTCAGAGGATAATCCAGGGGAAGGTACCTGGAGGTCATCTAGTCCAACCCTGCTCCAGCAGGACATTGTTAAAGTGAGTTTCTGTCTTTTGATTCCCCAATTACATGACTACATAGCCACGCCCACCCAGTCACAGGACTCCCACCAAGCCATGTCCACAGAATCGGTAGTAAAAAATTTAGATTTCACCACTGGGGCTGGGCCTCTGCTCTAATCAGCTGGCTATTGGGAGGTTGCAAACCTCACTTGACTCTTGCTAGGCTTTGGGGCATCCAGCCACCTGCACACAAAGGATGAGCTTCCCAAAACCTTTACCATGCTTAAATCTTGGTCGATTCTAATATTTTCTCTGAAGTTCTATCCAATCCCTAAAGGGACTAAAGATCAAGACTATCAGAAGTAAAAGTAAAGGTTTTAAAGTTGGTTTTTTGATCAAGGCTAAAATAGATATGTTGTTATCTGCGATACCTTCAACGGACTTTTGCTGATATCAATACTGAAATGATGAAGCCTTAAAATTTTGTTTACAGATGAGATATGGAAGAAGATATTGCATACTGTATTTTAAACTAGCATTGTTTACACTTGTATGAAGGGGTAAGTATTTATTTATTGTCTCCCTTTTATTAGTCTTTTTTCTTCCCAGGATACAAACCAGAGGTGGTATTCAACCAGTTTTGACAGGTTCTGGAGAACTGGTAGCTGAAATTTTGAGTAGTTTGGAGCGTGACCCGACAAAAGCGTGAACGTCATAAGCGCGCAGACAAAATCGCGGCGCTAAAACCGCGATGTCAAAAGCGCGCCGACAACAGCGTGACGGCCACAACCCGGCGCCCGAAACGGGGATTAAGTTTAAGGAAGGGGTTGGGGTAGGGTTTGG